GGATGCGGTTATTTGCTGTCGGAATTGTTTTTGCAATTCAGTTAGTTAATTACATGTCACATGACAACTGCATGTCACGGGGGCCTGGACATAAATCACGTGGTGCACTATTGGGCCTATAATAACCCCCAACCTTTCTTCTGCATCAATTCAAAAACTCCTGAATCCTCATCGACTCCTGAACACTTAGATTTTGACGTTGTCATCTTGATCATCAGAACCATCAAAGGCGGCAAAATACAGTAAGCAACTTTTCTCCCACTTTTCAATTCAGATGTAGACAAGTACAACACGTTTAGTAATGATTTAAAAAATTGTACGAGTTTCTTAGTGTCAATATTTAGTAGAACAGACATACGAATGGACACGTTATAGACAACAATCCTATATATTTTAGTAACAATGATTAGTTGGAGTGACCAGTATATATTTGCAAAAAATAGATTTATAAAAGTTCAGCTTATTAAGTACAATGCACCCATCAAATAGAGCTGCATGTGTCAGGGACCCAATCTAGATAGCGCCAACATCTAGAACCGCTGCGCCGGAAGTAGGTAACGTTTCTAGCTCTTACGTCGAGTAAAATCAGAAATGATTCGCGTGATACATATATGATGTACATATATGTGAACAGCCTCTCGTTATTAATGCCCTTTAATTGTAGTCATCTTACTATTTGATCGTTTGTGCCACACAAAGCTATAAGTTCCGTAATAAAAATACGGAAAAATGAACAGATTAATCTCATGGACATATATTCAAAAATGGTAGCATAACGAATGAAGTAATGTTTTAATTTCCGTTCCCATAATACTATTTAGATGAGCCACCGTTAGCAACTTGAATGGGAATAAACAGTGGTAGCTGTCAATAGCCAAAGGATACTAGACTATACAAGAACAGTTTTAGCATCTCACACCGTCCCGACAGGCGCCAACCTCTCAAATATTGCACAACATATATTGATGGCGTAGTAAGATATTAATATTACATTGTTTCTTGAATACTGTGCGAAGAATATTTTGTACGATGGCAAGATTCAAAACAAGTATCATTATCTTCTTTGCGAGGAATTTAGAAGTTGGAGTATTGAGAGAGGATAAGATCTGTGGATGAACAACATCACTTGCTTGATAATGGTGTTACAACATACACCTAAGCGTCGCTCCTAACTGTAATAAAGACGTTGTTCATCAATATATCTTATCTCTACTCAGTTTTCATTATCGCTAAAATTAGACAAAACTGTAAAAATGGTTTAACATGTGTGGTAGCACAGCTAGTCCCTGTAAAATTTTCATTTAAAAAAAATAAATAAAAAATCACAGCGCACAGGGAAATTGAGCGAGGCTCAATTCGAACGGTATTCCCATGTTATGTTCTGTTTTTCTGAAAATGTACATGAAGCGGATTGGTCAAGAAGTTTATATGAAGACCACTCCGGAATACAATGATTCAAAAATGCATACATGATATTGTAAATGTATCTAGATTTTTAGACAGGATAATGCATAGATAATATTCCAACAGTCAGATTAACCAGATTAAACAGATTCCTCTACGCTGGGCAAACACTGGTCTATGTAGAATCATATCGTTATCTGGGACTACGGGTTGACGAGCATCTAGATAGGTGAAACTGTGAAAGAGTTGTACAATTCTGCCAGCCATGCTTTGTCTTATTCTGTTGGGTGTATGTCTTATGATGTTTTTTTATGAAACTGTATGAAAGTCTTGTTGAGCCGGTAATGATCTATGGCTCTGGCATATGAGGATAAAACATTAATCTAATCCACATTAGAGCCCGTAATTATTTCTTGGTGTTCTCTCCTCCCCGTTTGTTACATTACATGCTAATGTTTTTAGACTACCCCAAGATTTAATAACAGTACTTGTAACGCTTTGATGAAGAAAATGGTTACTATGTAAAAGTTCATGGAGTACTAAAGTTGTTAAAATTGCCTGTAATCTTAATATTTATGATGTTATGAATATTATGACTGCTCCAATGTCCCGAAAGATGAAAATTGCCCATATTCAAAACGTTCTCGTAAACAAAGATGAACTGAGCTGGAGAACAGAGCTTAGGAACGATAAACATAACGTTAAGGGCAATACATTAAGAACTTTCATGATCGTAACGTTGTTGCTCCTTATGTTTTAAATACAGGGACCACCGTCGCATTTTAGCTAGTTTTAGATCTGGATCGAAACAGGACGATTGACAACCCCCCAAACCTTTTAGAAAATAGAATCTGCCCGCACTGTTTTAAAATTGTTCATAAAAGTTTGTCGAAAATGAATTTCACTTTATTAAATGTTATGTCCTTTATGATCTTAGAAGTATTTTACTTAGATAATGGTCATCTCTTTTGAAACACGTGACGCATTCATAAAATAACTTCCTCTGTAAGGTTCACACCCAATTGTCAGACATCCCATTTGGCAGGTGACCGAATCATCAGACAGACCAGTCAAGTGTGACCAGTGTATTCGTCTGGTCTAAACTACTAATTACTGTGCTGCTCTCGACTGTGGGCAGAGTAAGCTATTCAAACTCGTTAAGTGATACAGATTAACCAGATTCCTCTACGCTGGGCAAACACTGGTCTATGTAGAATCATATCGTTATCTGGGACTACGGGTTGACGAGCATCTAGATATGTGAAACTGTGAAAGAGTTGTACAATTCTGCCAGCCATGCTTTGTCTTATTCTGTTGGGTGTATGTCTTATGATGTTTTTTTATGAAACTGTATGAAAGTCTTGTTGAGCCGGTAATGTTCTACGGCTCTGGTATATGAGGATAAAACGTTAATCTAATCCAAAATAGAGCCGGTAAATTATTTCTTGGTGTTAGTAACAGTACCTCCATGTATAGCCACTAATGGAGACATGGGTCTCTCCTCCCCGTTTGTTACATTACATGCTAATGTTTTTAGACTACCCCAAGATTTAATAACAGTACTTGTAACGCTTTGATGAAGAAAATGGTTACTATGTAAAAGTTCATGGAGTACTAAAGTTGTTAAAATTGCCTGTAATCTTAATATTTATGATGTTATGAATATTATGACTGCTCCAATGTCCCGAAAGAAGAAAATTACCCATATTAAAAACGTTCTCGTAAACAAAGATGAACTGAGCTGGAGAACAGAGCTTAGGAACGATAAACATCAATGTTTAAAACTACTTTCAACTACTTGTTGCTGGCGTACGCATTTTATATTGATCAAACTGTTAATAAGATCTGTAAAACATAACGAAATACAAATTATTTCATGACATCATATAGTTGTCATAATGAAAATAGTATTAAAGCATTATTGTCACATGCAATAATTATACTGTTCGGTATCATTAGTAAACTTTGCAACCACATATTATGTGAAACATTCTATAAGAGGTGAGGAAATTGAATGAAGCAGTGGTAAAATCTAACCATATATACAAAATTGTATATTTTGGAAATACCAACTATACAAAATTGTATATTTTGGAAATATCAAATATACAAAATTGTATATTTTGTATATATGGGTATCTTTTCTTGTGAAAGGTGTCTCATCAGAAGATGAGATCACAATAAACCTTGGCCATGAGTCAACAATTTCAGACGAGTCTTCGTCGGACGATAAAGACTCCGTTTATTCTTTGATGAACCAGATGGTATGGGAAGAGCCATGGTGTAAGTAAATGTTTCGACATCTCTGCTCCCCACCCGCCATGTAGTGTCAACAAGGACGATGGTGCAGTGGTAGCCCGCCTGCACCACCAGGGCTACAGGGATGTTATACTCCAGCAAATAGATTCCATAGCTATTCAAGTTTCTGACTGAAGAAATGCCAGGCTGGTTCGCCCATGACACTTTTCTGGAGAAACTCAGAATTCAGAGGTTTATAATGCCAGATTGGCCCATGAGCCACCGCCTTCTGGCATAGGACTCTAGGCAAAATTGAAATGATCAGGATCAAGTTTATGATATATCCTGATCCAAATTTGGTTAATATATCTCGAAATTATTCAATTCAAGTATTTCATGCACAGGGCATGGCGTGACCAGCCGATTGATAGAAACGGGCCCATTCTACCACCCGTCTAGGTGAAGTAAGGGTCGAAGTGGTGTGTTGGGCAAAGGAACACTGTTCCTGGTTCCAGTGCCCTCAACCACCAGAATCCCGTCCTCCACCGACACAGGGGCGCAACCCACGGCAAACAGGTTGCCCAATTCGGTCGCCTTTTACGACCAGCAATGGTCTAGTGGTAGAGCGTCTTACCGGAGAGAGGGACGTTGGGGTTTGATGGCTGCTGACATGAGAGCACGCGTGTAAGAGATAGCTCCCATGTTTTTCGCCCGTAAGTCACCACAATCCAAAACGATCTGACACTAAATGACTCACACCAGAACAAAAAACGCAAATTGAGGGAAGTCGGACCCCTCAGCGGCTTACCTAATAGCTTTTCTCTACCCGAAAGACAAAACTACGTTGGACTCGGACAAATCCAACCAACAAGGTACCACTCGAACCACCATGCTTGAAGTCGACAAAGAAGAAATGAAAACCTTCATAGCCGAGTGTCTTCAACAGCATACATCCGAAATTACCTGCAGCATAACATAGATTTCTACCTTGCAAACGACTATAAATGACAATTTGGAAACCACGAACTTTAACGCTAATAGTATACACGTAAGCCAGAACACCGGAATTTAATTAAGTGTTGCTGAATTTAACTCCACCTTCTAAAGTTTGCAAAACAAGTGACAACATACTATCGAACGCGCAAACTGTCCTAGCTGTATGTAAACAATGAAGAGAACACAACCGATATTTTACAAGGTTTATAGGTGCTATAATGTCAAGTTGTTAACTTTCTCGTGGGTTTGTTCCTTGGATATAAAATGAATGCTAAAAATTGAATTTGTTTACATTGATATCTTAAGGAGAAATAAACGTGATTTCATGAGTAATATGCAATGTTCGTATGTTCCTGTTACAGCGGAAACAGAACGACCACCAGAACGACAACCAACACGAGGTAAGTATCTTATCTATCTCAGTGCCACAGATACAGAGAACTTCACGAATGCTTAGCACAACCAGTGCTGGCGCAATGTTCTTGAAATATATATATCAATATTCGCGCGCGCGCGTGTGTGTGTGTGTGTGTGTGTCTGTGTGTGTGTGTGTCTGTGTGTGTCTCTGTGTGTGTGTCTGTGTCTGTGTCTGTGTGTGTGTGTCTGTGTGTGTGTGTGTCTGTGTGTGTGTGTCTGTGTGTGTCTGTGTCTGTGTGAAAATGTTGAGCCAATGTATTCAACGAATAGACGAATGGATAGCTTAAAATAGGAGAAAATGCTACAGTGTGTAAATAGGGTTATTAGGGTTATCGGTGACGTTTTTGAATGATCATAGGAGATTTCATAAAAGACAGATACCCGTGATCACTAACATATTATTTTTGAAACTTTTCCGAATAAATATCCGAAATTTGTAACACGCCGGATATGTCCTAGGGTACGCACAATATGTAGGCAAACTATGGTGAGAAAAGTAATAAATGATAACATGCAGATGATTGTTCAAAGGGATGTGGATGGTTAAACAAAATAATTCATGCCTAAACACTTCTTCAATATGGCGAAAAACAAAGAAGTGCTTGCCGAAATGCATTATGGGTCAATTTGCCAAGGCACTGTGGGTAGTATTGTTTGATAGATAATACTGTTAGTTTGACAAAGCATAATGCTATTTATTCCCTACGACGTATATATGTATACTGTTATGCAAATGCACAATACATTTGAATGGGCCATATTAAAATGCAGTGCTGGACACATAGTAGATACGCCGTACCTGTGGACTGGGGTAAGATAGCATCAGAGAGCATGTTAATGAAAATACACACATGGTCGAGACCTGCGTAACTGATAGGTAGAAAACCAGCATGGTACACGGAACGTAACTTTGTATTGATGCGTTATGGATATTGAAAATGGCGATTTTTTGCTTTGCCTAAAATGACATTGGATGATATCACAGAACAGGGAATTCCCTGAAGTATTCGAATTTGTGAAGTGTATTTGTGTGCGTGATGTATGTTGACTTTTATTCGACTTCAAAGTGAGGGTTAAAGAGGAGGGACTGTCCGTCTGGCATCCAGGGAGTTTAACAATAAAATGACGTCACACATGTCAAGCTTCACATCTTACAGTTTTATTTCATGACACATGATACTATTTGAATCTATTAAACTGAAACTCGTTACAGGTTACGCGCATTTTACACTCACGCATGTGACATTAGTTGGCTGCACACGGATTGAGCACTCTTGAAACCAATGCAATGAAGCACCAGTGTCACATGTTTGTGTCATGCGTTCTCAACACATGTAATTCAAAAGGGAAATCAACTTCTAGGTCGTGGTGTATATGCGGGTAAAGTATGAAGATGTAAAAAAACGACGTTTGCGCATTTGAGGTGCAATATTTTGTTTTGCGACAACCCTCGGTTTACTGACTCTGATCTGACCTGCCCTTGTGTTATACGCTTAATCCCTAGTACCATCTTTTAACATCTGTTGGTATGACCACCTTTCTTTCGCTCTAAGGTCTGACGCTCTATCGACTAGATTACGTGCGTGGTATTTCATAGGAGGTTAGATCTTGCCATTGGCAAATAGCTTTGAAAAGTGATACATACTTATATGAATGATAACAGTTGCAACTAAGTACAGACGGTACTGATTAACTTCGAAGTTGTTCCATAGTGACGAATGAACTCTGAATAAACATCATCTTTCAGGCACTAACATCTCTGGTAGGGACATGGGCATATTGGAAATACCTGTCTGACACATAGGTCACATAGTTGCTACAATGCAAATCGTTGATGCTCTTCTGGTTTTGTTCCTTGCGAATTGTATGAATATATTCCCAATTCATGTATGACATATCATAACAGCTTATTTTTATATTTTGTTTCGAATGTAACAGTGGTATTTAATGAATGCATAACGATTGCCGTTTGCAATTTATATCTCGATCAAATGGTGAATTAAAACAATCAATTCTATAACGATGCGCCTATCTTGCTTATCCAATAATACAGGGAAAAACGAAACACGTGAATTGGCAAGGGAATCAACTCACGGTAAGTATACTCTGAATACCTAACATAGGCTTAGAAACGTATATACACTTCAAAACAAGAAACGCATAGGTGGTAACAATGTTTTCAAAAGTAATTGATTTGGTAATGATTTGGTTCGTTATCATATTTCCACTAACAGTTTCAACGCGCATGAATGCTTTGTCTATGAAATCCCTTGCTTCCAGGTTCAAGAAATAATTAGTTTCTCCAATTTCCACTCAAAAAGCTCTTGATCTTACTAACATTCCATTGGTTTTATCCCGACGTATTTCTTAAAGGTCTCCATTTATCAGTTCAATATCATTTTCTAAGTCCCTTTTTAATTAGTTTCATTATGAAGTGACATGGTTGGTTGTTGTAGTGTACCCGAACAAAATTGTGCTTCCGCGAATCATTTGTATTAATACTTCCCAAAACATCTGATTGCTAATTATGAATTCATCTTCACCAGTTTCTACATTATTGTACTATTCTCTTGTTTCAATTATGACGTTTTTGATACTTTTGACATATTCCAGGACTAATAAAGAGAATGATTAAAATTCCAAAAGTAAGTCTGGTAGTTTGAGATTTATCGAAGTAGGTGAATGGTCGGATTTAAAACAAGGTTCTATTTCAAATTTTGCAACAGAATATAGAAAATCATGGGATTATAAAAAATATCGTTGTCGCTAAGTAAATCGTTTTTCTGTTGGTCGAAAATCTCACCGGGGCTATCGTATATCAAAGTCTTCCTTTAGTCTAAATAATCATAGTCTGGCTTTAGGATTCCTAATATGTTTGTGATTATGAGAATCTGGAAAAATAATATTGGATAATATTCCAATCTCAACAAAGAAGTAATTTATGCGAATCTGGTGATCTCATCAACTCATCAATTTCATCGTAGAACTTCGGGGTATCTGAACTAGGCCCACATACATGTACATCGATATGGCTAATTTGTACTCATTAATGGTAAGTTGTTATACCAGAATGTTTCCTTTTTTTTGTTTACATTTTCTTGTCAACATTACTAGAAAATAGCTCCCGTAGCAGTTCAGGTAGCAGTGCTCATTTTCATATCCCTGTTTAATCTGTTTCTAGTTCAGGAGTTGTATACATATTATTTACAACAAATAAAAGAATGCTTTTCTTAAGAATTGCAAATATCTCCAGACGTTTGAATCTATATTTTATACTTCTTCCATTGTATGATGTTATTTCCTGGATCGGGCTCCGTGCTGGAAATAATGACCAAACCGTCCACAAGCAAAAATTCTCCTTTGATATTTGGTGAACTCCGTTTCACTTTGTAATGTTTTAAATACTCGCACTTGAAGCCTTGTAGAAGTCACAGATGCGTTTCTGTTTTTGGAGAGTATAACGCCGAAGAATATAATGAAATAATTTCAAAATATTGTTTCTACAAAAATAAACTATGCAATGAGAAAACGTCAACACACGACTTCTACAAATATATAAATTGTACAAGCAGTTTCATACAGTTTGAGATTTGTTTAAGTTTGTCTTCAATTTAGAGCCGAAAGAGGGATTTCATAAACAATATGCATTGTTTGTATGTTCCTGTTTCAGGGGAGACAGAAAAACCAAAATGGTTCAGGCAATTTACACAACGTGAGTATTTTGTCAGTCTCAATGCTTTCCCTTGCTGTCGATCTTTAGATACGTTGTGAACTATGCTGGTTTTCAACAAATGACAACTAACATGTTTAATCAAACTGTATATGCTTGATACCCTTTTGAATGATCTTGAAATACTTACAACTGATATAATTGAAGGTCAGTTTCGCCCCCAGGGCTTTACACTCAAAAACGTATTATGTTCACGATAACGTAAGAAGTGTAGCAGGATGAAATTAAGTATTTTTATATTATCATCCTTTGGGTGAGGCATTGAAGTGGTACCGGTAAGGTTTTATGCAACCTTCTTTGAAAGTAGAGGTCACTGGAATGGTTATTCATAAGGCAGTCCTGCTTGTCTGTGTACTTCACTGGCTCCGTGGTCTAGTGGTAGAGCGTCTTACCGGAGAGAGGGCCGTTGGGGTTTGATGGCTGCTGACATGAGACCACGCGTGTAAGAGATAGCTCCCATGTTTTTCACCCGTAAGTCACCACAATCCAACACAATCTGACACTAAATGACTCACACCAGAACAAATAACGCAAATAGAGGGGAGTCGGACCCCTCAGCGGCTTACGTAATAGCTTTTCTCTACCCGAAAGACAAAACTACGTTGGACTCGGACAAATCCAACCAACAAGGTACCACACGAACCACCATGCTTGAAGTCGACAAAGAAGAAATGGAAAACTTCATAGCCGAGTGTCTTCAACAGCATACATCCGAAATTAAAATTACCTGCAGCATAACATAGATTTCTACCTTGCAAACGACTATAAATGACATGTTGGAAACCACGAACTTTAACGCTAATAGTATACACGTAAGCCAGAACATCGGAATTTAATTAAGTGTTGCTGAATTTAACTCCACCTTCTAAAGTTTGCAAAACAAGTGACAACATACTATCGAACGCGCAAACTGTCCTAGCTGTATGTAAACAATGAAGAGAACACAACCGATATTTTACAAGGTGTATGGGTGCTATAATGTCAAGTTGTTAACTTTCTTATGGGTTATTCTCTTGGATATAAAATGAATGCTAAAATTGAATTTGTTTTCATTTATATCTTAATGAAAAATAACCGTGATTTCATAAGTAATATACAATGTTCGTATGTTCCTGTTACAACGGAAACAGAACGACCATCAGAACGACAATCAACACGAGGTAAGTCTCTTATCTATCTCAGTGCCACAGATACAGAGAACTTCACGATAGATATAAAAAAAATGCTGTTTGAACGTTAGTTTCCATCGGGCATATCTTTTCCCAAACCAGATAGTAATGGATCAAAGATGAACATAGGTACATTTTGGTGAGGTCAACTGTCAAAGTTATGTAATAGTGTTATCCTTTTTTATGATCCCGTACTAGTTTTAAAATCTTTTTCTGTGATAAGTCTAGTACTTTTTACTGTCCTTCGTTGGCACGTTTTTATATAAGTTTGATTGTATTTATAAAAAATAACCCTTGATAGTCACGATATGGCTGAAACATTGCCGATGTGACTTTAAATATTAACTCACTCACTCACTCACTCAACTGTCAAAATGTATCATGACACATGTTTCCAGATGGAAAGAGATGGGGCATTCAGGAATAAGTGGGTATGGGGCGGCTTCTGCGTTTTCTAGTAATGTAAGCACCTGTGTTGTTTACATAAGAGGCTTCGAAGTATATTCACCCTGACAGATGAACTCATAATAAACAACAGGAATTTATATATCTATCCATTTCAACGATATCACACTTGTCTCATGTCGAGATCACCTAGGTGCTGTAATGTCAGGTTGATTTCTTTCTTATGGGTTTGTTCCTTGGATATAAAATGAATGCTAAAATTAATATTGTTTTCATTTATAACTTAATGAGAAATAACCTTGATGTCATAAGTAATATGTAATGTTCGTATGTACCTGTTACAGTGGAAACAGAACGACCAGCTTTGTTCGGGCAATCAACACTGCAATCAAATACTTGCAACACTGATATTGAAATTGAAGGTCATTTCTGCCCCCATATATATATTCGTGTGTGTGTGTGTGCGTACGTGCGTGCGTGAACGTCAAGTTGATTACTTTCTTATGGGTTTGTTCCTTGGATATAAAATATATACTTTGACGTATTCATCAATGAAACATCATAACTAATTATTATGTTTTGACATTTGTTTTTCATCTATAACAAGCATGGGTTACTGAATCAATTCTAACCTGATATATAACCTGGGATAAATGCATCAATGTGTAATGACAACAGAATACACTGATTCTTCAGAAATCCGTATTTCTCAGGGGACATTGCATCACTCATGGAGTTTAGCGTTATGCCTATATAACACGTTCAAGTAAAGTTTTACGGTCTGAAATTCACAGTGCAGTAAAGATGACTTGTTGCAAAGATTAAACTATCAATACGTTTAGCTATGGTTTGTTCTTATCATGATTAGTTTTAAATTTTGGTTTTCGGTGCAATCATATTGAATTATATTCTGCGCACTGTGTGCTGTGGCATTTGCATTGTTGATACATCGTTGGACAATTCTATTCGTAATAATTCCCAATATGATCCGAAAGCAAATACAAATGGAAGACAGTGGATACGACGTAGTCATCTTATTGATAAGATTATATCAGGACTCCATATACTGAATTGCTTCAGTTAGTATATATGCAATACCAGTGTTGCAGCTTATGTTGCAGCTTCTAATGGACAGTATGAAAAACAACCGCGTGGGGTAAGTAAATATATGCAATTTTTATTCATACAGATTTTATATCCATGTGCATAGATACTATTCATAGGATATTCATATAGCTCCCACAGCATGATATAACTGAAGTATACAGTTCAAAGCGACGTTAACCCAAACTGTCACATTGACTCATATAGCCATCGCATTTCTATCACAATTAAATGATTACGATATCACGAATAACATTCAATACAGGTTTCAAATGATAATAAGTGGCAACATATCTGATTTTATATAATAATTAACGTGTCTTTTTTTTAAGACATCTGCTAAAGACAGTTTGCAGTTTCATGATGGCTCCAACCTCCAACGCATTAAAGGTAAAAGTATAGGGTTTATCAAGAAATAAATATTATGTAATAAAATCAATGCTGATCCTGTCCGATATGCACCCCCACCTACCAGGGTGGCAACCGTTACAAACACATGCAAAGGCAAGTCAAGTGTTCGACTGAAAAAAAGCACACGGGAACATATAGTAGAAATTAAAATAAGGAATTTCATCGGACAAGTTTTGTCACTATTGCGACAAATTTTAAAATGCCCTCCACATGTCGACCACAAATGAGACTGCATCTGCTGGAATATTGATTGTGATCCCCCTTGTCATACAGACTTGTGGACAGTTTTTTGAAACTCTGAATCGTTATGCCTAGATCGCTAAATATTTCACAGACGAATGGTCTCACTTGCCTCCTTTATTCTATTTTAGGTGTGTAAAATCAGAGGAAGGGAATTGGCTATTTGAACATTATTGAACGATATCAGATCATCCGTGCACATGGAGCTAAGTTAAACGTTGATATTTGCTTTTTCAAACTTTACATACTCATGCAGAGATCATGTATGCCTTGATGTTATGTTGTAGAACTGGATGAAAAAGTAATGGCACTGGAGAAAGAAATAACAGATCTTAGAAAGGACAAGAAACTGCAAGAAAGGGTATTTTTTTACAGCGTCTAAATGTAATGTGCGTTATACATACATGAATGAATGTGACATATTCTGAGCATTGCTTTATATATATTGCTTTGATATGTTATGCCTCATGACGCACAACAGAATGCAATTCAGGTGCCGTAGTTTCAATATTTATGCATTAAATGCGTTTCTGCCAATGTGACAACCACAGCAATAAATTAGTCAATACAAATTATCTTACAGCTGATCTGAAACGTTTTTGTTCCAAACAGATGTATGCAGAACTCCAGAAAACAAAGGAGTCTTTTGAAACTGCATATGAAGGTGAGAAAAAATGTTCTTACTATTGATGAATGTCTTTTTTTGCGATTTTGACACACCCCTCGACAAAGCCTGATACATAATGCATGCAGTCCAATGGGTCATAGACGTATCTTTTAGGGATAACCATTATCCTTTCCAAGGTCATCAAACTTATTTGACTCAAATTGTGTCCTCAATCTCTATCAGTACTGGTTATTGTTTGTTTTTAGATCTGAAGAATGACGTGGAGACAATGAATACAATGATTGTCAATTATGGACCGGTTAGTATATTGAAATCATGTTTCTAGAAAGTGTAAAATGTGTACATATACTTAACACAGTTAACGCAGTGTCTTGAATGTATAGAGTACAGCTGACCTGCTTCAGTGGCATAGAGGTTAGTGATGTCATTTGATTGTGACGTGGTGGTAACGGATGACACCACAGTGGTCTGCAAAGCTTTGTGATGAAATTTCCTTGCAGCGATATCTCCTCGGAGATCCTATGATCGAGTCTATTTCCAACCGAGTTCGGCAGGGGTGGAAAGTAGACTTCTATAGTCAGTTAATTCTCTTGCCTCGGGAAGATGCTCTCCTCCTACTCCCATACAAAGGCGTACATATGTAAAGAATGAAATAACTGTATTGTTATGAAAAGATGAAAAGATATAATTATATAATTATAAGAATAAGATAAATGTAAGGCTATAAAAATGATTATTTCACCATCAAGAAGTTAAGTTGTATTGTTTTCCTTGTTCCAAAACAGGCCGCAGCCCATCTCAGGGATGAAAAGTTAACGTGTGAAGCTCAGGCCACGGGTAGGTCAATCGGTAATGGGCAAAGAGGTATTCGGTTGCTCCCAAAACTGAACTGAAACGATACTTTATGATCATTTCTCAATGTGATATGTGAACCACAAAACAGCATTTCGGAGAGAATTGTATCTGCATTATCAAACACTGGCTGTAATAGACTAGTTTAAGAGGTTTCAATCTTTTTGAACCGTTTGCTTATTAGGGCTCCTAGCCGAAAGGCTGTAGAGCCCTATTGTAATCGTTCGAATTATTATTACTATTATTATTATTATTATTATTATTTATTCCGCCGATTTTTGCACCTGCCCTAGCAAAATAATCACCAGCTCGATTTTGTTCACATTCTGTGTGTGTTTGTAGACCGTTGGGTACTAGTGCCCGCCAAAAAGCCAAGGCCGTAGGCCCAAAGACCAAGGGCAGATAACTGAAAAACAAGTATTTTTTGACGATATATTTTGCCCTGTTTCTCCACAACCGTTTGTCCGTTTACTTTCAAACCTTGCATGTATATACTGCCTAGTTGCTTGATAATTTTTGTTCTTTGACTTTGGTCATTGGTCACGTGGTTTGGCAGCCATATTGGATTCAAGGTTTTCACAGGGTTTTGGGGGCACCTGTCTTCAAACACTATCTCCTCTGAATCCACTGCATGAAATGATTTCAAACTTTCTGAGAATTGTCTCCATACAGAACACAACAAATTAGCATAGCCGTTTTTCGATATCTTTTGATCTATGTTTGCACTTTGCAAGTGTGACAATGCTCAGAAACCGCCAGACTAAAGAAGCTAAAACTTGACATGTTTATTCCTACAAATGATAATACATAAAGAGGTTCGAATCCGATTTCCAATATGGCCACCCATTCATGGCAATTTCTGTTGAAAATGTAATAAAATATGGTACATTTGACGTTAGTTATACTGCTCAACATGTATGGTCCAGGGTTTGTATTGCAATAATTTGAGTGAGAGAAAGTGAGTATGGTTTTACGCCGCTGTTAGCAAAATACCAGCAATATCACGGCGGGGACACCAGAAATTGGCTCCACACATTGTACCCGGGTATTCGGCGTGACGAGCGAACACTTTAACCACTAGGCTACCCGCCGGCCCGCAATAATGTAGATTTTGAATTCGTTTGACCATGCTCTTAAATTCTCTCAATAGATATATATCGCGACCTGAACATCGACATGTACGCTTCTCATTTTGATGTCGACATATTTTCTTAAAACTATTTGAGTTTAGAATTTATGCTACTTGGTTTGGGTCATTAAAGTAGCATTGATGGCTGCCTATCCAGGTGTCCCTACAGTGCCGAGGTACTATTTTTTTCCGAAATTTCACACTTATCATATGTGAAAATTACTATTGGACTGTACTGACGTTTTTCACTTCCAGTTGTGTAACGTGTATCTAACGTTCGTATCAAATTAGGTTATAGTGATTTATGAGCCTACAAGCACAATCGCATGTACACGAATAGAGTAAAAGTTTTTATTAATACACTTATTTATTGTAGATCTGAAGGACATGCTTATGGCACTAGTGAATGAGTTAGAAGAGCTTAGGCTCTTCAAACAACTTCAAGAACAGGTAAACCTCATGAACTCTATGCTGCATAGATCGACACATACGTTCCGTGAATGAGTACAAGTAAATTGCATTAACGCCGCTTTAAACATAATTTCACTTATATCACTCTCACCAGGGATGATAGGTCACGATGATTGAAGCTTCGTATGGGTAGAAAGACACATATGATGTTTCACAGATAGAATTGTTCCTCTTGTCATTGACGTATTTCATGTTTTTATTCGGTTCTTCATATTTAACAGTGGTAAACAACGAACAAGAGACTAAAGTACTCATGGAAATGAAAAAAACCCTGTTTTGCTGGATTTAATAATCGACACAAAGCATCACGTAGATGTAAATACGAAATAACAAAACAACTGGAAAAGTACTAGTCTGGATTTGCTAGTTTTATCTCAGTGCTCAATACAAAATGTACTTTACAGGAGGAAATTTGTAGGCACTTTCAATATTGAAAATAAAACTAAGTCCAAATTGGCATGGCAGAAACAGGCTATAGGCATTATGCAAATTAGCCTGGAAAAAAAGTTATCAAAACAACAATAAAACAGCTATGTTTATGTACATGATAATAATGACATGTAAGTTGTTGTTTGAGAAGGGAATAGGTTACTTTTACGTTCTGATATTTTGACGATGATTCACTATCCCACGATGCCACTCACAAATCACTAACCACTGACAAATCACATGCACGTTGGTTTCAAGCGCCTGTTTCCACCTGTCGTCAAGGTGTCATAGGTCATGGACATTCACCTTGATCTATTACACCTGGTTATGCTCAGTTTCACAATAGTCTGTTTTGTTCATATTTCTACACACTTTTACGTGTAAAAAGACATAAAAACCTTTGATACGCTGTATTTGTGCAAAGGCCCAATTAGTACTAATTGAATATTTATATTATTTGTATATTAACTGCATCTATTTAAAATCTGAGATTAAAAAAAACAGTTTTTTTTGTCATTTCAGTGAGTACTTTAGTGCAATTACTTTATTCAACATATCTGTAGTGTCTGAAAACATATATATATATATAGTTTTAATATGAGAATTCACTTCAATATGCTTTTAGTGTTTATTGAGATCAACACTGATAACGACACAGACTAAATATTTAACTTTTAACACACACAGTACCTGCAGTTAACAAAACAAAATCAGTAATTCTATTATTAGGCAACAGAGGAAACTGTTTCAGCTGGTGGGCGTGGTCTCAAACAATTCGTCGAAAAGAAATTGCTTGGTTAGCCAATCAAATGCCATTGTTATACTGTTTCTATACATGAATCACAAAATGAACACAATTGTAACTTTTCTACATTATGTATCATTGTGTTTCACAACAGAAACACGCAGATCTTACAGATGAAATGAAAATGGTTGAAGCAGAAAACAAGGGTAAAAAAGTTTGCGATCTGTTTATGATACATACGCATGATATTATTATATACAATACCTAGCAAAAAGGCTGTGGAAAATATCAATCTAATTCGTTCATTTAAACTCGAGAAACTGTTAAAGTAGGTCAATGAAACAATGGTACATGTCATCCGTGACGGCCCAGATCGGGAAAATGTCATGAGTGACCTACGGGTAAGATCACAGAGAAGGTCATTGTTAAGTATGTTTGCAATTTTCACTAAACTGCTTTTTCTACTTGCATTATTTTAGTCTCGTGATTGTAAAGGTTATGCTATTTGAATAGTTTGAATATATGATAAGTAATGACAGTCTCATGATATCAGTGGTAGGTCAGTGTGACCTACTTTCAATAAGTAGCATGTGCTGATTTTCAATTGTACATTACTGAATTCCAAGTAGGGGCATCATCATGACAATAGAACATGGATAATGTGGCTACATCGCGTGAAACAATATAAAATACTTTGCACTTATTTCTCCAACGGGATCGTTTTAGTTTTAATTTAGATAATATAAAACTCATGATTTAAGGTAGTCCGAGAAGGCAAGACAGTTGTTATGACACTGTTTGCAAACTATTGTTTTGATTCGATTCCATGATTATTTTGTAGCACATAAAGTCATACTTGTGGCAAAGGAGAGTGAATTAACAGATCTACAACTCAACATAAAACAACTCGAACAGGTAATTGTTATGATCTGTGTGTACCTGAAAACAATAATAAGTATTTTAAAACAAAATAACTTAATTAATTAATAATGTTTCTGTTTTCTGAAGTATTTGGGAAATTTTAATCATCAAACTCATGGTGACATAAGCTAAAACTGTTGAGTGTGGTACTGCTACTGATTAATTTTGCTCTCAACAGGCAGTTGCAAATCTAGAGGATGAAAACATGAGCATTGAACATTCACAAAAGGGTAAGAAATTGATAATAAGATAATGACAGTTGGATATGATGTTTTAATGACTTTATCCATTGCTTTGAAAGAAACAATATCTAACTACAAAGTAGACACAATGTATGGATAACAATTTCTATATTACACTGTAACAGCGACGTTTCGGTATATATCTTTACACCGATGTCATGCAAGACTGCATAATGAACATGGTACAAAATTTTATATAATGGGGTGAAGGATCAACATAAACAACAATTTCCCTACCTGACAGACATGAACATGAGTAGGTTAACTAATAACAACGGAAGGATAATATTGTCACAAGTGGACGGACATATAACACACGACAAGGAAGCCAATTAAACAGGAAGCCAATTAAACTGGATCAAGTACACAAAGGCGTGATGATTGGAAAAAACTATTGCTAGTTCATAGTTGACGGAAAGGATGTGGATGAGTTTGGTGTATGTATATATTTACCATCACATCACATTGTTGATGAATTGCATGCACTCGTTTAAATTAGAACTGTAATTATTTTATAGATCTGACTGACAAACTTATGGCTTAAGGTACTTATGTTTATAGAACAAACAGTCGATCTGAAGGCTTTAGAGAAGTTGATAGCAGATCTTGAACTTGAAATAACACAGCAAGAAGAGGTAAGTATGTGTACATATATTAATGTTTTGTTTGTGTTTGTTCGATTGAAATAGTAAAAACGTAAATTATTACTAGCGTTCTAGTATTATGATGCTAATACCATGAAAACAAATCTTCGTCACAACAGATATTTGCAGGCCTCAGGGATGAAAAGCAAAGGGTTGAAGCTGCAAACGTTGGTAAGGTTGAACAATTACAACTAGTTACTTAACAATCCCAATAAAAGTATAAAAAGGTTGTGAAATTTCCATTTTATATTCTATAGATTTGGTATCACTAAATTGTAAAATTCAGTACATGAATCTTGCCATATCAGTAAAGCGTAATGGAATGGAATGGAAGGTAATGCGTTTTAGCTCATCTCACTGAAGGCCAAGTAAGTACATAGCCAGTCGTAAACATCTCCTCCTCAGAAATAACTGGCCTAATGAAACAGATACTTCACATACTTGTTCCCACCAAAGATGACATCCCAGTTTGTTGAAGAGGTTTGGACCCCATTTTAAATATGTCTGCCATGGAAAAAATATGTATTTACATTTCTCAGGTATTTAAAAATTCAAAATATAATGAAAATGTGCATATGTGTAGTTAGTAGTCGGATTCCAGACCCATGTCCCGTTTTTCGAGATCTCCCGATGACCTTTATTGACCTTTGCACTTCGACCATGGGCCTGAATTCTCTCAAAACGCATTTGCTCACACTGTAAACATTATCTCCTCAGAAACTTCACATGTCTATTCCCATTCATGGTGACACCCTAATTTTTTCAACATGTCCGAATCCAAATGTCAAAATGGCCACCACGGCAGCTAAATTGGAAAGCCTCTTTATGGACATTATTGACTTATGATTGTGTCTAAAATGAAATGTGTCGTTCGTGGAATGGGTCAACACACGGCTCAGTTTGTCGCGATCTCGCAAACGCTGACCTTTATTTTGACCTTTGCGTTTTGACCATACTGGAAACTGAAACTTCCCATGACCATTACTAAGCCACTGTTATGTAATTTAGGTATATGTGTGGTTAGTAGTGGGGCTCAACACATATTTTCCTTTCCCCCCCAATTTTGATCTATGTTTGCACTTTGCACGTGTGATTTGATGATTATTTTGTAGAACTTGAAGTCATACTTGTGGAAAAGGAGAGAGAATTAACAGATCTACAATACTACACAAATCAACTCGAACAGGTAATTGTTATGATCTGTGTGTACCTGAAAACAATAATAAGTATTTTAAAACAAAATAACTTAATTAATTAATAATGTTTCTGTTTTCTGAAGTATTTGGGAAATTTTAATCATCAAACTCATGGTGACATAAGCTAAAACTGTTGAGTGTGGTACTGCTACTGATTAATTTTGCTCTCAACAGGCAGTTGCAAATCTAGAGGATGAAAACATGAGCATTGAACATTCACAAAAGGGTAAGAAATTGATAATAAGATAAAGACAGTTGGATATTATATTTTTATGACTTTATCCATTGCTTTGAAAGAAACAATATCTAACTACAAAGTAGACACAATGTATGGATAACAATTTCTATATTACACTGTAACAGCGACTTTTTGGTATATATCTTTACACCGTTGTCATGCAAGACTGCATAATGAGGTGAGGTGAGGTGAAATTGGGTTTAACATCGCGTCCAAGATTATTGCACTTATATAGCGACGTGCATGCACGTGTATGTGTGTGTGTGGCTGCTTGTACTAGTCCGATTTATAGTGCTAGCTCACTGAGATACCATGCCGCAGTTTAACATGAATACCCCACTCAGACACAGTATACCGCTCTCCGGGCGGACGCTCTACCACTAGACCACGGAGGCGGTCACTGCATAATGAACATGGTACACAATTATATATGGTGGGTGAAGGATCAACATAAACAACAATTTCCCTACCTGACAGACATGAACATGAGTAGGTTAACTAATAACAACAGAAGGATAATATTGTCACAAGTGGACGGACATATAACACACGACGAGGAAGCCAATTAAACAGGAAGCTAATTAAACTGGATCAGGTACAGTAGTATAGGTAATAGGGGTTCTGCCGCATCTCCACTGGAGCAGGATTCATATACCTATACCGCTACTACAGGGGGGATTTTTTTATGCCAAAATGATGATGCGATTTAACGATAGTCATAAGATTCAGCTAAATTGACTCCACCTGGAGCCAATGATATAAATTTTTATAGGTAATGGGGGTTCTGGACCACTTCCACTGGAGCCAGATTTATTACCTATACTGCTACTACAGGGGGGATTTTTTATATCAAAATGATTATGCGATTTAACGATAGTCATGAGTTGTATTAAACGAAACATCAATATTAATTAATAATGGATAAAATTTACTATAGCCCACGAGGATATTGAAAAGGTGTAGGAGCAATAAAAAAATTAGCCACCACGGCTAAGGTATCTAAAGATGTGGCAAAGGATTGGTTAAAGAAACAAGCGATGTGGCAGATATATTTACCGGCACCGCGTTATATACCGAGGAAGAAGTTTGATATTTTTACGACGAATGAAGTTCATCAGGCTGACCTCTTGTTTCTTCCCCACGATAAGGTAAAACGCAAAACGTATAAATACGCTTTAACGGTAGTGGATGTGGCTAGTCGATACAAAGAGGCTGAGCCATTAACATCGAAAGAATCAACAGAGGTAGCTAATGCACTGAGTCGCATATATAAACGCGGACCGCTAAAATGGCCTAAGCTATTTCAAGTAGATCCCGGTCGCGAGTTTATGGGATCGGTAACTAAACTGTTAACAAAGAACGATGTCGAAATCGTCTGTGGTGAAAGAGAGGCCCACCGCAGTCAAGCTATCGTCGAAAGATTTAACAGGACATTAGCGGAACGTTTGTTTGGCTATCAGTATGGGATCGAAATGAAATCCGAGCGATTGAGATCAACCGAGTGGGTGACACGATTATCAGCCGTTGTATCAGCGCTGAATAATGAAGTAACGAGATTAATAGGGAAGAAACCATCCGATGCTATTAAAATGAAATCCGTGACTTCCGAATCTTCAGCACCGAGGAGAGGCAAAGAACGAAAACTTCCGGATAGAGTAAGGGTAAGATATTTATACCAGGCCGGTGAACTCGAAGGAGGCCTACGTCGCGCAACCGATCCCATATGGTCCCTTAAGACATATAACATTAGTAGATTGGTTTCGAAAGAAGGAGAGCCTATTCTTTATTATCTTCAAGATGGACCGGGTAGGGCATTTGTACGAGAAGAGTTGTTCATAGTTCCCGACGGTACGGTATTACCACCATAACCATAAGCGTAGGTAGTTACACCATCCTTATCAATCCATCTCTTTGTATCTAAGGGGGATAATGATGTCTTGTTCATTCTTAATCCATATATCCTATGATCGTAACTTCTTAAAGAGTTCATCTCGTGTTTGAACATTCTACCGTTAAATAATGATTCTTTATACTGTTCGTGTTTGATATGCTTTTTTACAACATACTTCTTAACGCCCTTAGCTTTTCTTATCTCACCATTATCGGACTTCTTTATAGAATACATCTTAGGTCTTAATCCGACATACTCCGCTATTGGGGTCCCAGCACATTCATCCTTCATCTTACCTAACACCTTTTTATTTACTACGCTGTGCAGTGGATTATCTTTTGGGTAATCGCTCGTGTCGTACATATCTATTTTTTCTGCCATATCTTTATACACATCCTCGGTTTGTATTTCCATCAACAAAGAATCTGTGTCGGTATATAACACCTCGCATCTATCGCCGTATTGCTTCTTAAGTTCGTTGTAATAAAAGTCATACATTAAGTGTTTTGACAAGTCGAGAATACTCATACCGACGTACACCGGTCTGTTGAATTTTATATTACTCTTCTGCATATGCAACGCGGCTAAGTCGTTATCGAATATCTTGCTTCTGTTAAAAGCCGGACTGGCTATAAGTTTCCTGAGTCTTTCTTCCTCATTAGATCTGACTAATTTAACATCAACACGCTTCCTCAGATTCTCCATGGTTTTACCAAATACCGAGTTATTCATGAGCTTATATAGATTCTTTTCGAAATCGCTGGTAGCTATCTTTCTTAAATCTGTGTTCAACCTTATATAGGGCTCCATCCAAGGGCTTTGATCGAACTTTAGAACTCTGTGTATTTTCTTAAGTTTCATACCTAACGATAGATACAACTGGAGATTTCTGTAGTGAACTATATATTTTGTTTTATCCATCAAATTTGGTACGAGTTTTTCTACGTTAGCTAATCTACTATTACCCATCAAGGAGCGTTGATATTCCGACATCCAATCTTTATTAACCATTAATCTTTCGGGAGCTAGCGGATAACTGTTATGATCTTTATGTAACGAACTTGGATATTCCAAGTCAACTTCTAGTATGTACCCTTTATTCGCATCATTATTATGAATATTATCGATATCATTGACCCATTCAAAACCACCCGTGGGTAAAGGTTGACTCATAGCCCATCCGTACAAATTGTTGGCGTCGAGATATAATATGTGAGTGTCGGGTTTACTCGGATCGTATCCTTCCACTAATTTATTATTAGCCTTAGAATACCTTTTAGCTGCCATCGATATACCACCTCTTAATCCTTTCTCAATAAACAAGTGCATATCGTAATCTGTGAGTAGTTTTAGTTCTACGCCGGTCTTCTTCAACAATGCATCCCACGATAGTCCGGGACTGGAATAGTACCATGCCGGGTCCAAGCCATATTGTTTGAAACACGTCTTTCTAAATATCTCGAATATATCGGCGAGTAACAGTACATCGGTTTTTAAGTACAGATCGTGATAATCGCCTAAATTCTTACAACCTAATTTATCCCAGACCGTCAGAGCGTGTTCATAATCGGCATCTGTTATTCTAGATTCTGTTAAGTTACTATAGAATGATTCGAGGGGTGGTAATTCAGTTTCTTCGAATCTAGACCAATCATCCATATATTCGTAAGGATATACACCTTTTCTCAGCAACAAATGACGAATTATCTTATCGGTATATTGATTTGTTATCGCGAAGTCATCGGGATTGTTCGCATTAGCTAAATTGTCCAGGGAAGATAACAGAAACTGTACGGAGTCTATGAATCTAAGCCCATTACTTTGCTTTGTTCTAGATTTCCCATCCTTGTCCCTATAATGTATAGGTTTAGTCAACGAGAACGATATGTATTTTTCCATATTATTAGGAATGCAAGTTAAACCGCCGTCGGTCTTCGAGATAGCTTGCATAATGAGATGTGAATCGTATCCTCTAAGGTTATGAAACACAACGGGGATGGGTATTGTTTGAGCATTCATTTTTAGTTTCAAGTTACACTCGTTATGCGCGGCTCCCCGATAGTTACCCGTGACGTGACAATGATCTCTTACGGAATCCCCATCCAGGGGTTTATTACAAACGTGACAACTCGTTGACTTCTTATGGACCCTCCAATCATCCCTCGTCATACGCATGGGTATCGTACACGATAATTTTTCCCTGATTATTCTCTCTTCATTTTGTAGATATTCTAGGAACTTTCCCGCTGCATCGGGACCTCTGTAAATCACGGGCGGGTTTGTTTTCCCATCATACCTTACAACTACATATCCAAACCCACAAGGAATATGTTCTTGAGTTTTGTACGTAAAACTACTATCTTGATTATTGCGTTCAGTATTTTCTATGGGTTTGATAAGGGCTTCGAAGTCGGCGTAAATTACGTACGGTACTGGCATTTGATTACAATAATGTTCAAATTTTAATATATTTTTTCCCTCTTTAGGCATATCGATCCTGATAGCATTCTGTCCAACACCTCTACAGTCTTCTTTATGCGCTTCTAATAGATCTTGTCTGCTGTACCCATGCAGGCATCTTTCACAGAAATATTTCTTTCCCTTATATTTAGTTTGATCGTATAGCAGCCTGTTTAAACTCTTTATCCACGTATAATGATATTTACCATCTTTTTCGATCAGAAATGAATTGATTCTGGGGATATTTTCCGGAGCGGAGCTTATCCTGTGTACAACAATTCCTTTAGAATGTCCGAAAACATTTATAGCTAAATTATTTTGCTTTTCCACCTTATCAATTTGTGATATTGGTGTAGGTTCGTCTATACCATCGAAGTTGAGTCCATCGTTTTGGGGATAGCTAGAAGGTCTATTTGCAATTTTAGAATCTACGGGGAACAATGCAGATCTTATCATCATTCTTAAACAGTCATCGGATTTATTTTTTACGTTAATTATGGCTTTTTTCTTTTTATAATACGGGGGTAAATCTATATAAGATCCACCTTTGAAGGGCATATAATTCGCTATATCTAAATATAAACTATCGATTTTATCCACACCCCAACCTGAACCTCTATTAGTCCAGCGTTCTAAA